AGTGGTGGAGGTGGAGGTGGCAGCGGTGGTGGTGATGGAAGCCGGAGGTGGTATTGGTAGTGGTGGAAGTGGAGGTGGCGATGGTGGTGGTGGTGATGAAAGTCGGTGGTGGTACATGTAGATGTGGCGGTGGCGGAAGGTGGTGGCGGTGGCGATGGAAGTCGATGGTAGTGGCGGTGGAGGTGGCATTGGTGGTAGAGGTGGATGTGTAGGCTAGGTGGCGGTGGAGGTAATGGTGGTGATAGAAGTCGGCGGAGGTGGAGATGGGGGCTGCGGAGGTGGTGGAAGGTGGTGGTGGGGTGATTGAAGTTGGTGGTGGTAGTGGTAGAGGTGGCGGCGGTGTAATTAGTAGTAGAATAGATTTTCATTACAATGGAATGGTCAATCTCACTTTAAATTGCATACCAAACAAAAGACGGTTAAAATGGACATTCTATTCTATTTTATTCATACACACCAAACATAACATAAATGAAAGATCATACCTTTAGGCTAAAGAAAAAATATGTGTAAAATAGTATAAAAGAAAAATGATTTTTAAACCAATATTTCAACCAAGTAAAAAAGAAAAATGATTTTTAAACCAATATTTCAACCAAAATGTTTTATAAACGAATGATGACATTTTGAGTGCTGTTAGATTAATATGGTGGAATACTTTATTTTATTTCTATCATGACAACAAAATTCACACACATTTTCCATTTAGAGTATCTTGGGATATCTAAATTCAATAATAAAATCATAATAGAAGGTAAAAAATACTATTTACATGGCATTAAAAGGTGAGATTCAGGTAATGATACACCTTTTACATCTATCAATAGTTATTTTGCAAATGCATGTCCACCACCTCACACGTTTGGAAGTTTCCACCAAGGAGAGATCAGATACGAATTGAAGATGCAATAATAAAAAATATCCAAAAGATTACCTAGGAAAGTGTAAATTAGCAAATCGTCTTAGTGGAATTGGTGACATAAGTACCATGTTATATATTTATATATAATGATATGATTCGTATAGTGGCAGCCACTAATAATTAGCCACTAATAATTAGTATCAATTAGATAATTAAATCTAAAGTTGGCTCTTAATCGAGTTTATTACATAGCTCAATTAAGCTAACAAACCAACCCTCCATAGCAACAATAAAAGACAAGGTGAAATAACTAAATCTCATTGTCCCTACAAAAGAAGTAATTGATTAGATTAATCTTATAAGTGTACATTTTTTGGCTTGGACGGTTGTAGTATAATTAACCTATAATTTTCATTTGGACATATGCGATTTTTAGGCATGAAATTGATGGGTGACCCGCCCATATCTAGTACGAATCAAAATTCATTTTATTTATTTTTAATTTATTTAAATTTCATACTTTAATTTTCATTTAAATTCGAATTTTTAAGGTTGGTCTAATATGGTTTTCTAGATCAATCACAATTCATTTCAGATTTTGATGTGATTGTACATGAAAAATGAACGGGTTAACTTGAAAACCGATCTACAACAAACTTATTTTAATGCATATATTTAGTTATAATAAAATTTATAAAAAGAAAAAGTGGTAAGACAACATAATTTAATGAAACTTAATTTTCTTTTTATTTAATATGTAAACTCTAAAAAATATAAAAGTTTGACAGCATGAACTTAACCTAATACTATTGTATGGGAACTAATGTGTGATTGGGTTCGTTCTAATACCATTTATAGGGTTGGACATTTGTCATCTCTAATTCAAAATTTTAAATTATTAAATAGTACTACAAATTCACTTTTATAAAACCAAGACCTTATCCATTTGACCGCTAACACCCCTAACAACAAAATAAGAAAATGATGTTAGAGTAAGTGGTGTAGGCAACACAAGTTATCTATTTACTTTTTAAAAAGTAGAGTGTCACGTAAGCTAAAAAGTGATGATGTAGTACTCTACTTTTTTTTATGCATATGTTCCATGATGTGAAACCCAATTATCTCATAATCTATTTATTATTTTATTTATTTAATTTAAAAATAAAATAAAAAATTTGAATTTGAATTTAATAATTTTTTGTCTTCTTCTTAACGGTTATATTCCCAACGGTTATATTTCAATTTCTATATAAAACACTCATTCTATCTTCTTTCAATTATGAAATCCACTTATTTGCATTCTCAAGTCCATTATTTGTTATTTCAATTTCTATATAAATAACTCATTCTATCTTTTTTTAATTCTATATTCTTTCAATTATCAAGTCCACTTCTTTGCATTCTCAAGCCCATTCTCTATTCTTTGAGTCTTCATATTTTTTATACAAAAAAATAATGGTTTCATCGTCACGAGATATACCTGTCTCTGAGTCTATTTTTCCATTGAATTCGTCAGATTCAGATGGGGAAGATATTTTTGAAATCCATCGAAAAAGGATGAACGATGTGAGCAAATTATTATCGCCTGATAGGGTGCGGGCATTATTTCAACCTCGTAAGAGAAAGTATATTAAATGTGATCGAGAGGAGGCAGCACAACAGCTATTCCGATATTACTTTGCTGAAAATCCGATTTATCCACCAAACATATTTCGTAGAAGGTTTCGGATGCGACGAGAGTTATTTTTTCGCATTTTGAACGGTGTTACAACATATGACGAATGGTTCATCCAGAAACCCAATGCCCTCGGTCGTATGGGGTTTACTCCTATACAGAAGATGACTGCTGCGATTCGTATACTCGCATATGAAATTTCAGCTGATCTTTGTGACGAGTATATAAAGATTTCTGAGCGCATTGCGATCGAAAGCTTGAAGAGGTTTTGTGATGCTATAATTGCTGTGTATGCGGAGTAGTACTAACGCTCACCAAATGCAGATGACATTGCACGTCTACTTCGAGAAGGGGAAGAGAGAGGTTTTCCAGGTATGCTTGGCTCTATAGATTGTATGCATTGGGAATGGAAGAACTGGCCCACAGCATGGCATGGCATGGCACGCATACGGGAAAAAACCATAAACCTACCCTCATATTGGAGGCCGTTGCATCGAAAAATCTATGGATCTGGCATGCTTTCTTTAGTATGGCTGGTTCACACAATGACTTGAATGTTCTCGATCATTCCCCAGTATTCAAGAGCATGATTAATGGTTCAATGCCTCCAGTTAATTACGTGGTGAATGGACATTGGCGTACAATGGGGTATTACCTATCTGATGGTATATATCCTAAGTGGGCAACTTTGATACAGACCATCCCGCACCCAACAATAGTCAAAGAGAAATTATTTGCTAACAAACAAGAAGCTGTTAGGAAGGATGTAGAACAGGCGTTCAGCGTGTTGTAGATGAGGTGGGCTATAACGCATCAACCGGTATTTTATTGGAATACAAAAGATCTAAACAAGATAATGCAAACGTGCATCATATTACACAATATGATCATTGAAGACGAGGGCGAACACATTTTGCAATGGACACCTCCGACAGATGACCCAATCTCCCTTCCACATTACGTTTGAAACCCATCAATGTTGGCGGCACACATTTCGTTTCGCCTAAGTAGGATTCGTAATAGATCAGACAATACCGATCTTAGGAGAGATCTCATGGAACATTTGTGGAATCAATTTGGTAATAAAGATGTTTAAATTTGTTGTAGTAGAATAAAATGTAATTTTCATATTACTGATGAATAAACAATATTTTAAAAATTATTCATTTCGATATAGATGAATGTTAAAAAAAAATATTGAGAGAGAGAATTATTGAAGGTGAAAATTATTGAAGACGAAATATAATATTTATAGGCTAAAAATATAACCGTTTGAATTTAATGGAACGTTTGGAAGTAAATTGAGCCGTTGTTGCCTTTTGCTTTTTTGCCTTCAATCAAATTCATTAAACAAAGGAAAAAAAAGAATGGAGCATTCTCTAAAGGCAGCTCTATCAGTGGACAATAGCTTAGACAATGACTGTAGGTCCCACAAGAGATATACTCCACTTCTTTTACCACACCGCCCATTTCTCTATGCTAACGGACACATTTCTACTTTAAACATAATGCCGCCCCGGATGCTCTTAGTGAGTGAAAGTAGTAAAATGAATAAAAGAAATATAAATATACACACACATATATTTGCATGCATTTTTTAGTTATAATAAGCAATCTAAAAAGAAAAGTATCAATACAATATAATTTTTTCATTGAAGAATATTAAAATATTTTGATTAGAATCTTAATGCAAGAAGTATGGATATAGATTATAGACACGAGACATGAACATGGATATAAAAATATGTCAAAATTTTAAAAAGCAATGCACATGGATGTAACTAATATTTGAATATAAAATTTTACTTATATATTTATTGAATAAGATAATTGTAAAATTTAATTAATTTATATTAAAATTATAGAAGTGAAGCTATTATATATATATATATATATATATATATATAGTTATTTTAAATTTTGGCATGTGTTTAATGTCAAACATTTAAAGAAAAAGAGATTAAATATTATAATGTATGTTGATAATGTTATTAATAGAGTAGTTATATTCAAATTAAACACTTGCAGTGAATTGCTTGGAATAAATTTTAATTGATTATTTATACCAAATATAACTAAATTAAGGGTTTCACTTTCTTATTTGTTATATAATTGATCAATTAAAAAAGTAGGTCTAGCAATTATAATTATTTAGTGTAAGAATTATTTTCTTTTTTAATATTGTGGTGTGTTTTTTATATAAGTGGATAAATATTATTTATTTTTAAAATATGAATAAAAAAATATATTAAACACATGTTTAAGAGTATTCACGAATTGTCCGTATTCAAGACCAACCCAACACTCATTTTGAGCCTTCAAGCTTAATAAATCTTACTACTTTTATAATATTTTCTTTTATTTTAATATGCAAACTCCTAAAACAAAAAAAAAAATGAAAATATCTTTCATTTCAGAACTTTTTTCAACACTTTCCTTCTAACCAAACAATGAGGCAATAAAGGGAAAGGGAAAGGACAAACTCTCTGGTTCCAATGGGAGCAGTGGGGCCCACTCTTGCTTTGCGATTTATCCCAAAATTCTAGCTCCTCCACTTCCACTCCCACTCCCACCTCCAACTCCACCTCGTCCGCATGTTGATTAGGGTTCTTTCATCCTTATGTAATAACCATTACATACATCTGTATATATAATTATATATACACATATATATCTACTCGCAGAGAATTGCTCTCCACCTCTCTCTGTCTCCGCTCTCCTCCCGCCAATTTCGCATCCCGGTAAGTATGTCATTTACTACATCAATATCTATCTTTTTGTTCAATATTTTTTCAGTGTTTTTCTCAGTCAAGACTTTGCGGTTTAATTGTTCTTTCTTCGATTTAGCTCTTTGACTTCGAAAGATCTGTTGAAAAACTTGAAGATTTAGTGTTTTCTGGATAATTATAAGGAAATACTCCATGGTTTGAAATGCTTGATGATAATATAGGCATCGTTTGACTACAATTCTGCAAAAAAGTACTTTTCTTGGTATTCCAAAGCGAATTTGCTTTTGTTTTTGCTCTTTAGAAGTGAGAAAAGCACTTTTGAAAATGCCACAAGAGAAATTCCGTACCTTTTCGGTTGCTAATAGTAAAAAAAATCTTTACAGGACCATGTTTTTACTCGTAATAAATGTGGGCTAGTTTTTTCAAACTGAGATTTCAATTATCATCATGAAGTTGTTGGATATTGTTTTCTGAAATAAAGATATTTGTGGTCCTTTACTTCTAATATTCTTCAAATCTTCTCTCTGATTGCAAGGAATACAATTGTAGAAAAGCATCAAACCCAAAGACCCTTCCTTTTCACTCACTATTTCTTATCCACTAAAACCTAAAATTTACATCACTTCCAGAACTCCTTGGGAATTGGGGGTCATTCTTTGCCCTCAGTATTTAGTTTTACTTCTTCTGAAATGGGAATTACTTGTAATTGTTGGTTTTATAAGGGTGTTTAACTCTTTGTAGTATCCTGTTTTATACCCTTTGTTAGCCTTGTGAAGAAGTGCTAGCGAGTGTACCCTGTACAGCTAGCTATATATATGAGTGGTCCTTTCCTCTTATTGAATTAGAAATACGGAGTATTAATTTGGCTTCTATTTGATACATATAGGTTCTGTAATCATCCAGTGGGATAGTGGTGTATTTAAGATATTGAGTTTAAAGACTAAGAGATTTGTTGTTGCTAGGAGATAAAAAGTCGAACAGATCGTATAGGTTTGTCCTCTATTTGTGTCTTGGACGCAGTCTAGCTCCAGTGCCTGCTGAAACATGGGTCACTCGTGCGATTTTTGTGGGGAGGAAAGATCCATGGTGTATTGCCGATCTGATGCTGCTTGCTTATGTTTGTCCTGCGACCGGAATGTTCATTCTGCAAATGCCCTTTCCAGGCGCCACTCAAGGACCCTTGTGTGTGAAAAATGCAAGTCCCAACCCGCAATAGTCAGGTGTGTTGAAGAGAATATCTCACTTTGTCAAAATTGTGATTGGATTGGGCATGCCGGATCTAATTCAGGTTCAGAACACAAGAGGCAGACTATTAATTGTTACTCTGGTTGCCCTTCAGCAGCAGAACTTTCAAGGATCTGGTCGTTTGTTTCAGAATTTCCTTCTGTTGATGATTCTAATTGTGAGCAGGGATTTGGTTTAATGAGCTTGACTGATAAGAGTGGTAGTAACTGCTTGCAGCCACTGGCAAATAACAACACAACAGGTGAAGCTGTGGCTGGTGGAATGTATGATATGGGAAATAAAGATAATAGTAGTTTTTGGATAGAATCATCTTCAGTGAATGCTAAAAATCACATCCCATCTGTTGTTAACCGGCCCACTGGATCCTTAAAATCAGCAATTGCCAAGGTGAGTTCTGATTATTTTTTTTCGCTTTTGTACAATCTACCTGCTTTACACTATTGCAAAACAAAGATATTTTGGGGAATGGGCCCCCTTGTTCAACTGGTATTACACAAGAGGTATATTTATGGTTTGCTTGCTATTGGATGGTGGTAGAATGTGGATTTGTTGATGTTGCTGTTTATTTATTTATGTTAAATTGCTTTATTTATTTTTATTTTTATTTTTGTTATAAAAAATGAATTTATAAGATATCATTCGAACTATCATTGCCCTTGTTTAAAATGACAAGAAGTGGTCACTTATACATAAAGTAATTTTCTATCATAAGATTGTTGCCTAAAGTACGAGTAACATGTATGTTTGAAGTTTGAACAAGGAAATCCAAAGATTATTATTATTATTTTTTTATTTGTTTTTCTTTTCGTCAAAAGAGATCTTTTAGCCTAAATTCATCCTTTTGTAGATCCTATTCCTCCGCATTGGTACTTTTGACTATTACTGTTGGTCGACTAGAATTGCTATGATCAAACAGGTGTATACTCCTTGCTATATTTAGTCTTGATTGATGTCTGCACTTTTGTTTTGAGATGCAATTTGTTGAAATACTTGAGCCTATATGTTGATAAGAGCATTTGAGTGGTGTCTTGCATTTATTTTGGATATATGCAAAATTGGTAGAGTACTACCATTGAGCACCTCCAGTTTAGCAGATCATGGTAGTACAATTTTTTAATTTAGCGGAGACTTAGCTTCCATATTATCATTTTGCAGTCGCCCTTCCATGTTTTACAGTTCTTCAGGAGTCATTCCCCATCAATCATGCTTGAGGAAGCCTCGAACTCTTTTGGTTCAAGATCTATATTTTGGAATGATCAATTGCTATATTTGACATTATTTCATTTTGTGGCTGTTTTGTATCGTGGAATGATTGTGCTTTTCTCTAAACCTGGGTGCTAGCTATGGTGGTTATGATATTTGGTTAGAACAGAGGACACACTGTTCGATGCCTTCTACATTAGGGAAATGTATAAAGGAGATACTCTCCATATTTACCATATCTGGGATTAACTTAAGTACATGTGAATTGAAGGCAATAATAAGCTTTTTGTGGTGTGTGCTCATCTGTATGTTTGTGGGTGTGCGCCATTAGCATGCAGATGTTTGTGCATGTTTTTTTTCCCTTAAACATGCTTGAAGAAGTTATATCTTTAACTGCAATAATTTTTCTTTTCTTAATCAATACGCAGCCATGCTGCTCTGAAATAAAAGATTTTGAGCTTTGTGATGATGATGATTTCTACAAAGACTTCAATATGGCTGATATTGACTTGAGTTTGGAGAACTATGAAGAACTTTTTGGCGTATCTCAAAATGAATCCCAACAGCTCTTGGAGAATGGTGGAATTGATAGCTTATTTGGAATTGAGGATATGATGGGTGCTGATACCAATACACAATCTTTTTATGCTGCTGAGGTTCTCCCTATAACTCGTTATTGCATATACTATTTTTTCATTCTTTTTGCCTCACTTTTGATTTTCATTTTTGCTCGGCTCTTTTCAGTTTTCAAGAGTGTTATTTTAATGTTAAGTTTTTAAGATATTGTTTGAATAAGCTAGAGAATTCATGTTACATGAATAATCTCTCCCGTCTACAAACGTGTTTTGTCAGTTGGCGATAAACATGAACGGTATCAACTTTTTTTTCATATTGGTATGTTATTCTCAGGATAACATTAAAGAGTTCCTTTTTTTTTTTTTTTTCCTCTTCTCAAAAGTAATTCATCTTATCTCTAATTTATGACAAAAACAAGCAAAGATTTCGTCCTTGTATTTTTAAAATGAAATAAATCCAAGCTGATAGCAAAACATTCACTTTGGAGGTAGATCAATAATCAATTGCATTTGCCTGGCAACAAGGCCAAAAACAGGTTAAACTATTGAAATCATTGAGGATATTTAGTTTTTGCAGTTAGCACTCTAATTTAAAATGGATACTGTAAATTAAATTTGATTTTCTCAATTGCTGCAAGAGCATCTTATTAAGTATTTTTCGAATGTGATGGCTTTTTCCAATGGGGGTTCCCTCATTTTAATGCCATTTGCAGCAGCTGCTTATCAAAAATTGCTTAGCAAAGATGTGATCACGGTTATAGTAGAATAAGTATGATCTAAAATGAAGCTAGAGAAGGTTTTTTAAATCTTTGCTGACTTCAGTAATTATTTGTGAATTCCCAAAATGTATGATTTGGTTTTATTGTAGGTTTTAGATTTCTCAAAATTAAAAAAGGGAAGTACCAAGTCTTTGTAGTGTCACTGTGGAAAGCACAATTGACAATGTGATGGAGAGTACTTCTGAATTGCAAGTTTCCACTTTTTCTAGGCGTTTTTATTGAATGTTGGATGGAAAGGTGCTTGCAGTGTATATCTCCTTTTAAAGTTGTTTTGAAGTCCTCACTTTCATCTTGGGTTACTTTAAATTATTGGGCAATGATCATGGACAAAGGTGCACAGATTCTCTAGAAAGTAGATCATTCCTATTCCCTAACTAAAGCTGGCAATGGTTTGGTTTTAGAATGCTTTTAGTTGGATGTCAGTTCTATTAATACACTGCTTGCTTACTTTTGGCTATGCTGGGCTGCTTAAACTTTGTTAGCTTATTCTTGATGTAAGAATTGAATCAATTTTTTGTCATGCAACATAATGGCATCCCTTGAGATCACCCCCCATCCTAGTATAAAAAGGCTCTATTGTGAGGTTTGATGGGATCTAGAAGACTAGAACACTGGGCTAATAGGATGGCATCCATCCAGGGCTTCAAGGCAATTGGTTTAGGCGTTCATGCTTGACTTCTTTGGATCTCGTGTCTGATATTCATTAAGCCTGAGAATTTTGCAGTTACTTGACTCTTGACCATTTTTAGTACACTTTGCATGCAACTCTTATAAAGTTTATGCCCCATCAATCTTTTCTATTATCTCCCCCGCCCGCCATCCCCTCCTCTTGTAAGTAGGATTCATAACCTAAATCCAGTGACATCAGCAGGTTCAATTGCCACTGATCATACCTTATCTAAAAGAGCCTTTTTCGCTACTCTTGTAAAGTTTATGCCCCATCAATCTTTTCTATTATCTCCCCCGCCCGCCATCCCCTCCTCTTGTAAGTAGGCTTCATAACCTAAATCCAGTGACATCAGCAGGTTCAATTGCCACTGATCATACCTTATCTAAAAGAGCCTTTTTTGGCTAAACTAATAATGGATGATGACGGCATATAAATCAAAAGGGATTTCTTCTTTGTATCTTTATGACATGAAATGTCTGAATCCACTCTCTATAAAACAGTTACTTTTTTCTAATAATTATATTGTATATATGGAGATAAGATATATAAAAGAAAGAAACTAGAAACTCTTCAAAAGTTAAACTTGTACGTGAACATAGGTTTTATTGGTTTCAGAGTTTGATAACCTCCAAGCAGATTGAACTTGGCATGACGATGAGTTAAAGAATAAAGATATGGTTTCCAGTGCAGCTTACCCAGTCTCAAATCAGGGCATCTCTTGAGGCACCTAAAAATCTATTCAAATCATGCGAGTAGAACATAAAGACATATTCATGCTGCACCACAGTGTTCTTGAATATATCAACCAAAACAAATACTATAAAGTAAAACTTTAGACCACGGAATCAAACTGATATTAGACTTGCATTTACTGTAGAAGTAATGCAGTTACAGGAAGCAAAATAAGATCTTATCCATATTTATACCATCTAGCGCGGACCATTTCAGGAACTTACTTCCATTAGCAGATTACTACATGGAGGTAAAGTTGTGTATGAAAGTGTAACTGATATTTATCTAGAAGGACTTTTGTCATAGAATTTGAATGAGATTCACATAGCATTGTTTAGATGCAATATTTCGGAGTTGTGGACTTTAAATTGTTACATTTTACCTTTTTATTTTTTCATTTGAGCTTCCTATGACCTCCATGGGGTAGTTGGCTTGACATAAGGCCTCTGCGCATGACTCAGAGGCCTCATGTTCAATTCCTGAAGGTGTCAACCTGTGATTTGGTGGTGATTGCAGGTATCAGAAAGGATTATTCCTGCCCCCAAAGAGGGTGGGGACACCCTCCATTATCTAAAAAAAGAATAGGACATCGTGATGCATTTATCACATGAGTTAACAGAATTTGTATAGCGTGGCTTAGATACAACGTTTTGGAGTTCTGGACTTGGAGTTGATACATTGGAGCCTTATTTTTTTTTGTTCTAAAATCTTTATAAATTTAAATTCCCCATTTAAGCTTGTTCTTGATAAACCCAGATTCTGAAAATGACAAACCTTTTGCGTACCATAGTATATCTCTATAATGTAAACATGAAAATGATATTAAGGGTTCTCTGGTTAGAATCTATGATTTTTCTTAGTTCGAAGGTTGACTTGGCTTACAGATTGAATTTGGTGGAATTTTGTACTTTTGTATGGCGATATGGTGTGATAATTGGGCTTTACTGAGGATTCCAAGGTGCATGGAGTGTCCTTATTCTCATGATTCTATCTGCAAATTGGCAACGGAAGTTTTTGTTGTTTGTGCATGAATTTTTCTCTTTCGGAATGAGGAAATAAAATTCTTTGAATTTTTGCAGATGTAATGGAAAATATTTTAAATACATGTTTGTTTCATAACATCTTGTATACCAAGGCAGCATTTCTGGCTTTTGAATTGACATTTTAAAACAATTCGAGTAATCCGTAGAATGGAAGTTACAATGTATCAATCATCCTTTTTATCATTGGTGTCAAGATGTTTATAAGTTGGCATTTGCTGCAATATACTTATGGATCAACTAAATTTTCTATCCCAGGGCTCCTCTGCTGTACAAATTAAATCACAGCCGGCATGCAGCAATCCAGCATCTGCTGATTCAATGATTAGTTGTAAAACTGATCCAAATCTTTGTTTCCCAAGGCAAGCATATTCTAACCTCTCAGTCTCATTCTCCGCCCTCACTGGCGAGAGTACTTCTGGAGATTATCAAGATTGTGGGGTGTCTTCAATGCTTCTAATGGGGGAACCTCCATGGCATAACCCTGAAAATCCATCTCCATCAGCTGACAGGGATAGTGCTGTCTTACGCTACAAGGAGAAGAAGAAGACACGCAAGTAAGTACAAAAGTTTTATATAGATGCATATAAAGTATCACAAGTTTTGCAGCACACATGTAATTCAGTCGTCTTTGAAGAAGTATCTTTTTAACTTTGTCTGTACACTGCATTACTGCACTTATATAGAACAGCATATTGATGAGTTCCATTAGATATGCAAACTTCCTCTTTTCTGCATAATCCAGAAGTCCTCCTTCTTACTGCTAATTTCTAAACAGGTTTGATAAAAAAGTAAGGTATGCTTCCCGCAAGGCAAGGGCTGATGTGAGGAAGCGGGTCAAGGGACGTTTTGTGAAGGCTGGTGATGCATATGATTATGATCCCTTATGCGATACAAGAACCTACTGAGTGTACAGTTAATGTCTATTTGGAAGGGAAAGAAGCATAAAGTTATTACGGAGTGTTGATTATATATCAATCTCTTTTTGATGAAAGATTGGATGGAGGCGGCTGAAGCAATCTGTTCAAAATTTGATTTGAAGGAGTTGGTTGAAAGTGCTCAAAAATGAAAAATTTGAAGGCTTGGAAATTATGGGGTGATGAGAGGTGAAACTGGCTGTGCCCCCTCTTAGCTTCTTTTTCAAGTGGTATTTCTGATTTATCGGGGTTGTGGAGTCACATGAGCAAAATCCATTTTCTCGCTTTATGATTTATTTCGTATGTTTCTGTGTCTCTGTCTCTGTCTGTCTGTCTCTCTCTCCCCATCATCAGGACTGGAAGTTGCTTACCAGGTTATAACGAGTGCTGGTGTACAAAGATGAAGTCCGAAGATAATATTTGGTCAAAACATGTTTGTAAAAATATTCCCTTTTGTTATTTGGGACATGTAGCAAAAGGTTGTAATGTAACTCGAGAGGAACATGATTGATATGTATATGGCTGAGAGGAACTTAGTCTTTAGTAATTCAATTTAACAGAACGATTTGTTTTTGTGAGGAAAATAAAATAAAAAAAAATGTATGTAAAAAAAAAACATAATTGTAATTCCATAAATGTCTTATATGCTATAATATATGTTAATGTGATTGTAAATATTCTAGTTGGGACTTCTGGATGCTGATAGTTACTTTTGTAAACATTGTTCACTTAGAGAGACTATCTTCAGTTGTCCTTGCATGGCTGAAAAATAATCTGTGCACTTGGAAACTGAAACTGCAAGTTTGATATGCTACGCTGCTCTTGACAGGATTGTAAGATACTAGAAAGTATGATGTAGGATGATCAGATTTTGTTGGTTATATTCGTGACTGTGACAACTGAAACTGCAACTTTGTACTGATCGGATGATATGCTAACAAGTACTCTTGATCTCTAGCATTTTCTTGTAAAAGCTGAGACTAGGGAGAGGCTCTTCATGAGTTCTTTTGCAGTATCTTTGCTGTGGACGTGGTTAAAAATCATGTGTCAACGTTAAAAGATTAACTCAAGAGAAATGAATTTAGTGGGTTTTTATGTCCATACGTTTATTTGTCGAGACAGTAACAATTATAGACTTCGTCTGATACTAACTTAAAATTATAGATTGCAATCTAGCATATTCAAATGTTGTTGCACATTAATATTTGAGAAGAAAGAAAGAAAGTACAAAGAAGAGGAAGGTTTCATCACAAAATATCAGTTGTGCTCGCTGCGAAGCCATCTAAAGAAGTCACATTAGCTGCTCTAGGCCATCCAGCCACGTTAAACACAGCCTAGAATGTCCTTTAGAAGCACATTGACAAACCCTAGTCTTCTACACAACCTATTGATATTTCAACAGATCAAGACGTCACTCGACAGAATCCTCCCAAGTCTGCCTTTCATGGATATTTAACGAGGAGGCTGCTGTTTTAATAGTTTTTATGAGTGAGTTTGTTTATTAAACGAACATGTCTAATAGTTTGGCTCATGAAAACATGTCTAACATTAAAAATGAAAAAGCTACAAATTCAAAAGATGGACAATAACAAAAGATCATGCGGTTCTTGTTCCATTTCCCTTCACAGGTAATACAGATGCAAACCCCCAATCTCAAGTTCAAACCAAATTGCAGGTTCAAAACATTGTGGTGCATGCCAAATAAAGGAATAGATGATAAAACACAACAAAAATTTTCCCATTGACAAGGGAAATGATGCCTGCTATTGTCTACGGAGCGATGCAATTGAATTTTCAATGATAGTGTCATAATCAGGCAAATGCCGCAAATCACAACCTTCCCGGGAGCTTTCACTGTTCATTCCATTTAGTCACCAAATAAATCATCGTCATCATCATTATTGTCATCATGAACACCGCCCGAGTTATTTCCAGCTCTTCCACTTAAAGCACCAAAAGCCTTTACCTCAGCACCTTCAGTTGGAGAAGCTTGTCGACCGCCAGAACTGACAGAAGAATATGCCCAAGATGAACCCACTTTGCCTGAAAATGTTTCTCCATAAAGGTCATCATAGATCCCGCCCTTTGAAGCAGTTTTGACCTTATTCAAGGCTTGTTGCAACTTATCAGTCATACCTTTTTGGGAAATACTGACTTCCTTTGCGGAGGATTGTTCCTTCCCTTTGGGTATTACTGTGGTTTGTACAAGAGATTCATATTTCCCAACAAGACTTCCTTCTTTCACACCCACTGGACCAGGTTCTGTGTCTACATCTGCACCATCTGAAACCCCAACAACTTCAACCAGCTCTCCCCCAACTTGATCCTTGAATGCTACTCTTGTTTTCCTAATTCTCTTAGCAGGACGCTCTGTATGCTGGCTGTCATCCCTTCCACCTGACAAGCTACCTAACGTAGTGGATTTAGAGATAACATCTGATTTGGTCAGACCATAGCGGTTTAGAAATGTATTATAAGCCAAAACAGCTTCTTCGTCTGAAGGATCAGGGGGTGGAGGTAGACTGATTTCTGCGGGTAATAGAGGAGGAGGGAAAAGAGCTGCATTATTTTTTCTCAAGATATAACTTCTTGTAGATGCAGCAAATCGCAAAGACTGCCCTGCCTCAAGCTCGACGGGGGAATCTTTGGTTAATCGCTCATTTGCCACAAATGTACCATGTGCAGATCCCAAATCAATTACATATATGCTGCAAGAGATGTATAAAATTAATCAGAAATGGGCTATGAAAGACTTTCCGATTTCAAAAAGTTATTTCAAAGTAGAAAAAAACATACAGCGATGCATCAAGGATTATGATGAGTTAGGTTACCACTGAAGCTTTTACATGGCCTGCTAGATCGTCAATTCTTACAATGCAGTAGATAAGCCTTTTCTAGTACTGACCATAATCCAGATCCTCTATTCTTAATCTAAATTATGCAAGAACTTAAAAATATATTAAAATTCAGCCGTTACATAAGAACCATTTCAAAAAAACATCCTGAAAGCCCTTCGAGTCAATTTTTTTCCCTAATTGGTACTCACACACACATGCCTCGACTAAGGCTTGAACCATTGACCTCCCTTTGGGAAGTAAGAGCCTGATACCGCTATGCCACTTATTGGGATTACACCTCAACTTATTGGGATTCGGGATATGCAAAAAAAGATTGAACAAAAAAAGGTCTCATTTTTAATCTTCAACCGTCTTTTAAGGCTCCCAAATTCATATCATAGCTGGGATTTACTGATTGGAGTCTAGAATAACAAGACCTAAGGATTGTTTCTTTGGTAAGATTGAAGCAATCAAGTCCATAAGATCTGTCATCGGCATAATTTTATTTATTTTGATAACTTTAGTTTTCTTACTTAATGTACCATAAATATTATAAGATTACACACTTAGATCTTCATTTGATAGTTAATTAAGATAATCAACCTATACACCATTCTTCTTTTGTATAATGACAGTGACTGAAGTCATGAACCAAAAAGGTGAATTTTATTTGGCTAATTCTTTTTATTATTTATGACTTTTAGTTGCATTTTTAGCTATTACTTTTATTTGTCAGTGCACTGTTCTTCAGAACAGATGTTGCTTGTTTGACTTAAAAACCAATATAACATCCAACACAATAAGTGAAATATCTTTACAGGTTTCAAAAATGCAAAAACATCTAAAAAATAAATTAAAGAAAAAACATTAGTGTGTTATCAACTAGGGCAAAACATGTATACCATTGACTTTAAGTAGTTTGCTAATGATTAATTCACTGCATTAATGACCGTTCCCCATTATGCCGTGCCCAATACTATGATACCATTGCTATACAAAGGCAACCGTTACATAACACAAAAGCATAACATATACACATCACAAGCATGGTCCAGAGTGACCAAGTGTTCATTTTTGTTTGGCTTTTCTTTTCTGGTAATTAGGTTTTTAGTAACAAAGAAGATAATGAACCTCGGATCATCAACTCAGAAATTACCATTAGAAATTGATGCGTAATGTCTAGTTAGTTGTAGCTTAAGCTTGACTTGTCATTCTCATTCTTATGTGAATTTTTAGATTTGACGATAAGTAAAATATACTAAGGTGAATAATACTCGAAAACAATCATGAGAACATCAAACCTAGGAGAAATTAAAATATCAGATTAAATGAAAACAAAGTGATGGGTCCAAAGACATTAACTGTAATTATCAATAAGAATGTAAAGAAAATTTAAGCAAAGATCAAACCTTCCATTCTTGTGAGGAACGACAGCAGCATGCTGGCGTGAGACAGATTGATGATCAAGGACATAGTCACAAGTATGGAATTGCCTCCCAAAAATGTGCCTTTTCTTATCGAGATTAATTTGATCAAGAACCTCACCATCTTTCATAACCTCGAGATAATAAACGCCTGGCCGAGGCTCAATTGCCCAATCAGGTGGCTGCCAAGTTGATTGACCCCCTCCAACCTGAGTCACTACAGCTGGTACCACATCCGGCACCAAAGGTGGTTGTTGGGTCTGCAGGTGAGAAGTCTGAGACTGTGAATATGAAGCTGCTGGTGCAGGAAGAACAACTGCTTTGGCAGCAGGCTGTGAAGCTGTTTTAGAAGCTGAATTTAGTGTAACTGAGAATGGTTCCGATGACTGAGCTTTTTTGAATCGATCAAGCCCCGTTCTCCCATACATTGTTCCTTACTTCCTTTCTTATTTTCTCAAATAAACTCCCTTCAGCAATTTAATAAAATTTTAACTACATGACCAACAACATTAAAACTGCAGCATTAGCTCCAGAAAAACAACCTACCCAGAAACTCATCTCTCCTTCTGTTCCACTAGATACAGACCTCCAATCCAACACCTAAGTTCATGAACAAAATTTGTCTCAGGTCCCATAAATGCATAATAAATAGTACATACCACCAATGACAAATTACCCAGAACCAATCTTTATGCATACATATCTGTATTACATGTTTGTATGTGTATGAATGTGTGTATTTCAAGCAATATCAAACCAAATTTCTGACAATGAAAGTAAATATTAGAAAAAATCAGAAAACATTTGTTCTCAGAAGGGAAATAAATACTAATCGAATCTTAATAAATCGGGGATAAAGCACAATAACTTAAAAAGAATCACCCAAAATTTCAAGCCCTAAAATAAAATAAAATAAAAAATTCAATTCAGATATTGCAATAGCTATGGTTTTCAAAGTGATCGTTTTGAATACGACGAAAAAACCTAGCTGAGAACAAACACAGAAACAGTTTTTGAGACAAGACTTACCTCTGAACGAAGACAATAAAAGAGACTTATACAGTTGAGATCGTATGAGCTATATATATAAAAAATTATATATAACAAATCGATCGGAGGAAGAGATAGAATTGTGAATCACTGGAGAGCAGACCGTGTAAAAGGAAGAGAGCCGAAAGGGTAAAGCCGTAAAAGGGAACTAAAATATGTATTATATATATGCACCTATGTAGGATTTACTATACAGAATTTTTTTTTTATAAATTTCTAAGCCAACCCATCATTTGAAGTGGATTATATTTTTAAAATTTCTGTATAAACCCCGAGTTTAGATATGAAACCTAAGTAAGATAATGCATAAATACCAAAGGACGAATTGGTTCAGCCGTATCACTTCTTTCTCTACTTTGAGGGTTAAATGACCAAATTTTAAAAAATAATAATTTTGCCCTTCTCTGATATAAAATGTAATATTATAATAAATAACATTATTGACTTTTCATACTCAAAATCATTTTTCGATCATAGGTGAAGAGGTTTAAGAAATATTAAAGTAATAAATATTGAACGATCTATCCATGTGTTATTTATCCAAACCTAAGGAGAGATCATTATAATTTATCCAATAAAATTGAATTATATTTAGATATTTTCTTCAAGATTTATTAATTAAGTATTGAATTAATCTCAATGAAACTAAATTTGGTTTCTCAAAAATTTATAAAATTATTACCTTTATAATTTTAGTTATTATTGGGTAAACTGTATCGTCTCTATTTAAACCCTCTTAATCGTTATGAAATTTTTTTCCTTTCTTTTATAACCCTCTAAGATCAATGATTAACGGGTTTACTAGGGTTAGGGCTAGTTGTAAACTCATATGGCATTACTTCAACTCATAGGACTAGAAAATATTTAAAAGTGCATAATTTGCGAGAAATTACATATGTCATTCCTCATCATAATTTTGTCCTCAATTTTATGTTTAACATTAGTAAGTAGTAATATGAAAAAATTCTTATCAAAAGTTGTTAACATAGTTGATCATACACAATTTGCAATGATACAAAATGATGAAGGCATCACTCATTTTTGACGGATATGTTATTAATTACTGATCACACAAATTCTAGTTTATTGGTACTTCTTGATCCTTCACCGGAAGATGTTGGGTCCTATTGTGGGGACAATTACGCATAGTGATCACCATGACGATGTCGGGTCCTATTACGAGGACAATTTCACATAGTGATCACCATACACTAGCGGTACAACTAATCAGCTCCTGGCATGCCTCCAGGACAGCATAAAAGGCTCAACACAACACACACACACACATCTCAACGATTTCACAGTTACACACACATATCAAGTGTTCTCAGAACTGTATACTTTAAGACTAAATGTTTTTAAAAGCTGTAACTGGCCCTTCAATATATAATTACAAGTTACAACTTGCATTGATCAAGCCTAGTCATGTGCTTAGACCAGAATGAGAGGCAATAAAAAGTTGAAAAACTAATGAGTTGCACTTCACAGATGGTGTTAGACATTGTGATCAAAAGCACTTGTGCATTTTATTAGCATCTTATTCCTCCCTGCATCATGCAGCAATGGTCTCTGAGAGGCACTCGAAGCTCCGATGAACACAAAACACGACACATCCACATAATTTGTAATTCACTGAAGTAACACATCAATCACAACTTTAATAAATTTTCATTGCTCGCCTGTTTTTGCACATTTGATGGTCATAAAACCATTTCATACAGAAATTTACGCCTGAAATAACGGTTACATGTTAAAGGGCTCGGAGCATTGTCGTCAGATTCAAGTTCTGAGCTAAAAATATTGATAATTTACAAACATTGCCTTACAAACTGATTGAAAGGAGCAATAGATTAGATCTCTGTTACACTTATGAAAACAAGCTCCAGATCCACTATAATGTAAATATTTAAGTGTTCTAGAAACCCAATTTGACATGGGATTTGATCTCAACAAAAACGCCAGTGAGTACTAAGTAGCTCTGTTAGAAACTTCTACCTGCAGTCGTATCTCTCATGTACATAAAGCCGGGGCCAAAACGTTCATTTGGCAGCAGCTCAAACTGTAATGCACTCCCATACAAAGTTAGGAACCATCTGTGCACATCGAGCAAGTGAATGAAGCTAGTATCAATCTGAATGCTCAGAGGCACTGAAGAACACGCACCATGAGAATTCAATGATTATTAACAGATGGTGCTTCAAACACATCTGTTTCTGAATTCAAGTCCCAAAATTGACACCAATAGCACTGCACTGAATTCATCTACTTTCTAGCAGAAATTCCTTCTCAACTACACTGAACATGACCTTTAGTCGATCTTGCAGATTCGAAATTATATTTTGGGTGATCCTCTTCTTATGTCTAGTACTTTTCAGCCATGCAATTCCAGAAAATACTTGGACATTACATCCTGTTGTTCTTGAGGGTATATCCTCAATTTGGTATCTTTGGTGAAGCTGCAAATGGAGAAAAGTATCAGTCAATCAATAACAAAGAAATTCGAAGTCCAGCCACGAGAAAGGTAATGAAACAAAACGGCACAATATAAAATTTATAAGAGCAAACAGGTGATGGTATTCATACATTAAAATAATCACCAAGTGGAATTCCATGGAGAGTCAAAACTTCTTCCACGAGCCAGCCATTTTTATCAGGCAGGGGAGCCTTTTGCTGAGTGCTTGTCACCTCTCCTCTATAGCGTGAAATACTCTTATGAAATTTGTAATAAATTTGCCTCTGATACACTTCAGGCTTCTCCAATTCCCAAGGGCTGAAGGAATAATTAAGGCAACCAGCCCTCTCCATAACTCTACGTTCCAATTCACAACCACTGAACAACTCCATGAAGGTATCGCTCTGAAGTTAAATACAGTTTTGATGGTTAGATACTTGGATATCGACATATATATTCCAAAAGGTGCATACTTGTTTAAATAAATAAATAGGTATACCAAAGCAATTATATATATGCATGCATGCAGACATGATACCCTGGTGTCGCATCTACTATTGATGCCATATGCAAGGATGGAAAATGCATGACTCCATGATCTGATGATTTCAGCTGACGGATATTTTCAATTTGAGATCTATAAAGGCCTATTGATTGTATAAAATCATAATAAAAGTGAACCTAATCAATATTGATTGTGCAGAGATGCCTGAACTCGAGGTGTGAATTCCTGGATTACAACCCTCTATGGGGCACACAGGGATCAGAGAAAGGATAGAGATTTTTACTGTGTCCAGATATTTCAAATGATATACAGCATGCGATCCCATCACATGCCTGCACTTGCGCGTGTGCACATGCGTGCACACACAAACACAGAGAGAGAGAGAGAGAGAGAGCTCACAGGTACAGAAACAACAGAGGAATAAACAACAGGCATGTTAAGATCATCTTCGCCAAAGAAGGATCCACTTTCTTCTGTTTGGAGGCTTTTGGCTTCACATTCTTCTTCAACTAGTTGGAGGCCTTTATCTTCAGATTCTTCTTCATCAACTATCTGAACCTTCTGCTCTGGACTCAATGCTCTTGCCTTCCATAGTGCCATGATAGTCCTATCCAGCATATGTTACATATTTTGTTAAATTTTGATTCACAACAAATTTTAATTATTCCTATTGAAAATTGTAACAAATTTTATTCTCCTACTTTGGACAGCCTTCAAGGCTAGGGGTGTGTCCCTTTTCATGTCAGACCAATTAAACAAGCATCAAATAGTAGTTTATTCATTTCCATGATTTTGATTCAAACACACAACACACTACTCTATAAGCATTACTTGTGAACGAGGAACAGGGGTGGGGAGTCAACAAGAAAGGTTTGGTACCATAAATTATTATTTTCCAGTTTCCTAATTGTACCATAAATTATTGTAACCATGTAACTCATATTTTTTCTTATAGTAAGCATGATGCCCATATACCACATAAAGGATGGAGTTGGAGAATCACTTCCTTTTCAGAAATTGATGCATAACGTAAAGAAATCTTTCCAGGATGATTTATGGCCATAACAACAATCATCTTTATGGTACATAATTGTAATAGTCAAGAACAAAAGTGCCCACAGAATAAGCTACGATGAAGATAATTCTATTACATTCTTTTATAGAGACCAAAAAAAAAACAACAACGGTTACACCTGGACCAAGCGTTCAAATTCCCAAAAGCTATTAAAGTAGGTTATTGATTAAAAACGATATATTGACCAAAATAAGTTAAAGAGAACCGACTGAAACAAACTAATCCAAAATTAACTGAATATATTAAAGGTATAAAAGTCGTACACCATTGCATTTCTTTCTCCTCAAATTAGAAAGAACCCATAGATACACATGGAAAATAATCGTAATGCCAAAAAAAAGGTAAAAGGAAAGGCATGGTATGATGGAATCCAAAAAATATATTGGTCACAATCAGAAGAGAACCAAATGGACCAAAATGACCTGAAATTGAGTGAGATGATCAAAATGGGCTGTTCCTGGTAAGGATAAAATGTGCACCTTTGTGCTGATAGAACTAAATTAACAGGACTAGAGTTGAATAGAAAAAATTATTAAACTAAATATAGATTAAGTTCAGGCAACACAAGAAGTAGAACTAGTTTAGAATAAGATTGAAGAAGGGAAGTCAAGAATCAAGATGGTCTAGTCAAGAATAACATAAATAAAGGGCAGCATTATTAGATAGCCTAATGAGGTTCTGGGGTGCAAAAGACAAGGGGAAATCAAAATTGTGATAAAAAAAAATGTTTACAAAATATTTAATGCCTCAAAAGCTGATATATATAAATTTTCCGAATTAGTAGAAGAAAAGTATTATTTAATTTCCAATACCTTTGCGCTACATTGAAAGAAACAAAAGACTGGAAATGGAATTTCAGCCTGCCTTCTGCGTCCTGTGTCTTTGCACCATGCCGTGCATCCACACCTCTGCCAGGCCGTAAAGTCATGACAACAATTGGACTGCCCATTGATGACAAAGTAGGAGGAAGAACTTGAATGTCTTCAATATCCTCCCAGAGAAAAAAGAACCTTGTTTTGTGTCCAAATAGATCTGCATGGAACCCAATTATTCTAGCTGACAGAAATAAGCGGCCCTGCACAGGAATAATTTCAAGGTACTGGATAAAACTTCAAAACCCACCCAAAGTAAGAAATATAACTTGGAGACATTCATATTTGTTAAAGAATAATTATAGGAGTTAAATCACTCATTGGCGGAACGTTAATGTTGCTATACTTGGGCAATAAGTTGTTGCCATATTTGTATTTAACTTTCTATGTAATTTCTTTATTATAAAATAACTTGTAAAAGAAATTTCTATTCTCTAGCTACAAGTCTTTCCCTATTCACCTATAAATAGAGGTGGTTATTGTAAACAAAATCAAGAGAAAATGTAATGAAACAGATGTAGCCCTTGGGGCTTTGTGTGTTGTGGATGTAAGAACCATGTATATCCTTGTGTTCTTCATGTTTTAATATCTCTCTTCAACTTTTATTTATTCTTTCAACAATATTTTAAGCCAATAAGTTGGTAAGAAAGTCCATATAAATATCATGAAGTGCATCTTGAAGGAGGAGATTTATATATGAAGTAAACGGTACCTGCAGGGGCATTTTTCGTTTCAAGTGACAAGTAAAATCATTGATGAGAAATTCCTCTGGTGGGAGTCTAAAGAGTTTCTGAAATGCTGAATTTGTTTGAGGAGACCGCAGTCTTATCTACAACAAAATAATAAGCGGCCTATAAGATAAGAGATCACTTACCTACCAAAGAAAAAAGTAAAAAAGAGAGCACCACAAGAACATAATGAATTTCATTCGCAAAATGAATGTTCAGAGAAGAACAGATGTCTATTTACCTTCTTTCCCACCTCCTTCTCCATCTTAGTTAGATATTCCTTAACAACATTGTTACCTCTTGTATTGTTCAAGAAAATTCTTAAATGCACCTTAGACTGACATGCCTGAGCTAATTTTCCTTGAAGAGGAACCCAAACATCAGCTAACTCTGCTATATTAGCTTTAACAAAATTGATTTCAGCATGTCCAAGACATGTAGCTTCATCAAAAGGTCCATCAAAATCAAATACTTCCACATCCAGCACAGATGGAGGCTCATCCATTGCATCAAATTCAAATATTTCTGTAAGTAAACAAGATCCCAACAACAAATTCAGTCCAATGAATAACCATACCATATGAAAACCAAGTTCGTCTGTGTGTATTATGAAGCAGTTCCAAGATTGGCACGTTGAAGCTTATAATAGTAATATCACTAGAAACAAAAGACTGACACCGTAAAACAGAAATGGAGGAAAGAAATTCACCATTCCAGTGAGGATCAGTTTTCTGGAACTTGATTGAGCTAGTTTTAGTTTTCCCGTTAGAAGTAAAGACCACGTATGGATCAGAGAACCCACTTGAATCAACAGAAGCTAAATTGCTTCCTTCAATCAAGGCAATAGTTAGCAACCATCCATCCCCTTGTGCTTTGACTCCATGATCGCTACCTAAAATAGAAATTACAAAAGAAATTGAATCAAATTATACATATCAAAAAACAACTCTATATATACGAGAACCAAGTGTAGCACTGTAACCAAAACAGTTAGTAAAACAAAGTGGGATACAGCTCTTGGTTAAAATCAGTGGCCAAATAAAGAAGAAAAAGAAACATTGTACTGCACATAATAGAGCTTAGTGTCATTAATCGAATAGGCAATTATAGAAAGGGGATATACCCTTTTGCACTCTGGCCTTCATGAAGCGTGATATCAACTCTAGTACTCGTTGGCCTTGAAGAACTAAGATCCCACCCACAATCAATTCACCAATTGAATCTGGCAAGTCTAGCCCAACAAACTCAAGCCCTTGAACTGTACTAGGCATGGCCATCCACATGTGTACAAGCACATAAAATCCCATAAAAATGGAAGATATTACTGTAAAATTAGCAAAATACTGAACCGCCAGCTTCCAATCAGACACGCGCTCTACTTGCAGAGATGCCAAAACCTGTTCCTTACTGGAGCCAATATCCTTCGCATCAACTGGCTTAACATTCTGAGATAATATAGTGGCATACTGCTCAAAGCTGTCCCTTAAGCCTTGTCGAGCTCCACCTTCTATCATACCTTTCATCATAGTACTCTGCACAAAATTCATGCGCCAGGATATTACCAGTCGCGAAGACTGTTCTCCTGACGGCAGCTCATTCCCAGGTGTGATGCAGTAAATCAATTCTACCTTAAATGTGCTTCCATACATGACATCTGGAGTGCTCACACTTGACAAGACTGCATAAACTTTCCCATCAGCCTTCAGATATGTTTGCTCCTCTGTGGCTTTCACAGCCTTTATTAATTTAGTCGCAGCCTTAATATAAGTAAGCACTCTTTTCAAGTTCTCACCACCATTCTCAAATTTCCAGGGTCCTGCTTGTAGTTCTGTAGTTCCTTGTGCATCTGCTAAAGATTTGGGAAACTCTGAATCCGGAGAAAAGAGTAAGGAATTCAGGTCCGGTGGTGCAATTAAATACAGTTGATCTAGAAGAACGCCACCAGGTAAATTGCTTGGAATTTCATTTCCTTGATCTTTTGACTCCATTGTTTTCATTGCTTCTTCAAAATTTCCAGAAGAGGATTGTTCTTCAAACTTGTCCTCGAAAACCTCAGATTTTGCTGTTTCAGATAGCTCTGACAAGTCAAGGCCTCTACTAGAGGTGGTGGAGGTTGTAGATACTGCATCGTCAATTTTATTGTCATTTTTATTAAATATTTGAGCAAGTCGACCTGCGAGGGTCTGTACTTGTGGTTTGTCTTCCTTCGAAGAGGTAACTTCTTCTAATCTCATCGGAGATGGTAATCTCAAGGAGCCATCGGAAGACCTTGAAGGCGATTCAGCTGTGATCTTATAATACTTCTTTGATGGCGCTAGATCACCACTGGAAGACCTTGAAGGCGATTCAGCTGTGATCTTAGAATACTTCTTTGATGGCACTAGATCACCACCAACTTGCAAGTCCTTTAAAGAACTGTTTTGAGAGAAACATATAGTAAGAAGAACCTCACCTATACAAGTAAAGAGCAAAATTAATGTTCCAATCAGTGTAGAACACTGGGGTAATTGATGCATTAGCAATCGGTGAATGCAATTTGAATTCTACCATCATAGCAGAGCTCCATATATATCCTTATCTATATAACGCGCAGCTAAAAAGGCCAATCCAATCACAAAACCCTCATACAATCATATGCAAGAGCAAACTAAGATCATCAGCAACATATAGGCTACTTCAAGTCTTCAAGCACAATGGGACAAAATTCATGAATGGGGATGGAAAAAGCAAAGCAATTTTTCATTCACACCACAAATTTAAAGCCTACCATTCAAAAGCATTCATAATCAGTAGGATATAGGCTACTTCAAGCACAATGGGACAAAAATCATAAATAGTTATGGAAAAAGCAAGCAAAATTTTCATTCACAATCAGTAAGAATGAAAAAATTTCATGAATGGGTACGGAAAAAGCAAAGCAAATTTTCATTCACAACACAAATTTAAATCCTACCATTCAAAACAATCACAAAAACAACTCATACCCAATAAAAAACAAACCCCCAAATGACAAATTAGTGATAAAAGAACACAAATAAAAGTTCAGAATTAACTACCACAGTCCTTGCTCTTGATCTTCTTGTTACCCTTAGGCTGCAACGGGTACCAGGCAGTGCCGAGGGTGCTGCCATCGGCGTCGAAAACTTGAGAAATGGGCACTCTGATTTGGCCAACAAAATCATCATTGAACTTATCTTCATCCAAAACAGAGATGACAAGCTCTTCCTTCAAGTCTTCAACTTTAAAAGTAAACCCTTCACACCAAGATGGATTTAAGCACTTCTTAATCACTTTGGTCCTGAATTTCTGCTTCCCCAACTGTAATTTCACATATGGATCACTGAACCCATTTGGATCCATTGCAGGTATGTTTCGCGCTTCAATTACACGCACTAGAAGTTTCATTTTCGCAAAAAAAAATAAATATCAAAAACCCCACTTTTTGTAAGTTGAAGAAACAAAATTGAAAAAAAAAAAAACAAAAACAAAATTTATAATCAAAATTGAAAAACCCACTTTTTGTATTCACTGATTTTACAAAAACAATCTTCAACAGAGCAGTTCATGTTGAGACGTGTCAAAATTATAAAAATTAAATGTGTATATATAAAATTAAATATGGGTCTATTATACAAGATATAACGGTATGGAATGAATAACTAAAGAATATCAATGACATTGACAAAGATAGCTGGAGATATTTGCCCCTCGAAAATAAAATGAAAACGTAATACAAATTCAGATAAAAATGAAAATCTCCGATCTGATTAAGAAAAAAAATGGGGAAACTGAAAAGGGAATGTTTGAATTGAAAACCCAGAAATTGGAAACAATAAAGAACAAAGATCAACGAAAATTGAGTTTTTGGGAAAAAAAAAAGAAATAAGCCAATCATTCAATTTGAGGAGAGAGAGAGAGAAATGGGGGACACAGAGAGCTTGAAAGCAAAGAGACTTTTCTCCCCCCAAACAAATTTAATTGCAACTGCGCGTATGTTGTTGGACTTTGACTTTGATAACAATTTGAAACATTGTATTTGATTAATCCAATATAAAAAAAAGGTAGTTCTAATCATTTGATCCATCAAAATAATGGGAAAAGGTATGAAGAATTGTTTGTGATATTAATTATTAATTATTTTTATAAGTTTTTGTTATGTACAGCTTTGTTTAGACTAATTAATTACAAGCCGTTGCGTGGCGCCTAATTTACAAAAGGGATTTTTGACAGATTATTTATCTATTTTATTTTTTTAATTTTATTTTTAAACCTTTATGGCTTAACTTCCCTTGTCAAGAAAATGACCAGAAAAAACTACTCTCTTTCATGGATGGAAAATTATATTGGGAACAAGACTTTTTTGGATAAAAAAGGAAGGTGACAATGACTTCACAACTAACTCTGCAAACACATATATATTTTCTAAAGATAAGATGATCAACTGCAAATATTTCACTAAAGTTGATAGTAGTTTCAATTTTGAACTTTTTGCATCAATTAACTTGCTTATATTTGATCTTGTATTTTATGTTTCACTTTCAAATTCTAAATGAGCACTTTCAGATGATTTGGAGTTTAGAGTGTTACAAAATATGAAGAAATCTATTTAATTTGTTTGATCATTTGCTCGAATAATTTTACAGAGAAGATAATAATAAAATACGTTGTTTGTTTCGTACAAGTTGATGGTTAATAATTGAGATAAAATTAACAAGATGCGTTTTTTGTTTGGTACATGATAGTTGTTACTAGAATGTTTTGTTTCTTGTGTAAAATTTTATTGTCTAATGAATAAAGAAAGGCTTTGATGGAGTAATGTTTCAAATGGTTACTAATCTGTAATTTACTTTTAAGTTTGGTGATTAATTAACTATCCATATTTTTGTGATTTTATGGTCAGTGTAAATCAATTTTGTTTAAAATTAGTCATTAATAGATAATTTTCCCACCTGGAATAGTATTTGATACACAGCTTCACAAAATATTAATAGCTACTTTATAATTAGTAAAACTTAATTTTTTTAAAATTTTGTATATATTGTTTATTTACATAGTATCGGCAAAACCGTGATAGATGATATTATAGTCAATTCTTCAAGTTTTCTAAACTTTTCTATTCTAATATCCGTATGACTTGAAATAAATATAAAAATTATTCCATTACATACCTACCTTATTTAAATCTGTTATATTCCTAATATTTTATAGGTAAGGTGAGTATTTAACCAAAGCCATCCCTATTTGTGAGAGTTGGAGAAGAAACGGTCGGCACGGTTTTAAAGTCATGCTTGAATCAAAGTCCATGTGGAAAATTGGCTCAAGTTTGTATGGGTTATGTAAATATAGTATTTTTTCTGTTTCTCATTTTTAGAACCATGTTGGAAAAGCATACTCATTTAAATAATTTAAATTCCTCCCATATTTTTTTTTCGATAATTATTAATATTTTTTTAAAACTCTCAACTTTTTGTCTGTAGTGAATAATTCTAAATTTTGTAGTTATGGAAGAGATCTAGAAGGGCATTACAGTACTATTTTTTTCTTGGTTTTGTTAGCTGATATGGAGAGGAGTAAGGTTGACTCCAATCAAATTATATTGATGATAACGTGGGGAAGACGATGTTGATATTGATATTTAAAGCTCCTCGTGACTTATGAGTCATGAACTTGTGCACTGGAATTATCTTTTTATTGAAACAAGAATAAAAAAATATAAAAAGTAAATAAATAAAAAGATTTAGATGTTTGACTTCTAACGATTTTTATTCTCTTCTGCAGTGCTTCTAGACGTCCAATTAAAACTATGGCACATCTTCACATTACAAAGGCATGACATGCCCCTTTTATGAGTTCATACCACTCATACCACCTTTATCAAATATCTAGTGGTAAAGTCGGTACTCTTTTAGCAATGCTTTAGAAGCTTCTTTCAAGTTGAGTTTTACTCTCTATTCTTTTTCTTTTATTTTTTCAGACCTATTTATAAAAATTGAAACTTTTTCCCGTGTCATTTATATACCGCTTATGCAATAACTATCTTAGATATTTTCCAAAAAAAAAAATAACTATCTTAGATCACTTAAGATTGACTCTTAAACCACCTTTTTTATTATGTTTATCCCATTCCGAAGGAAGGAATAATCAGTGTAGTGGGTATCAATTGCATTCAATTCTTCACCAATTGCATTCAATTCTTCCCTTAACGTGCAGTTTTGGGCTGCAAATTTTGGATGGAGAATTGTAATTTTCCAGGGGAAAAGAAAAAGAAAAAGGTACATTTGCTCAATTATTGTGTTTTCCATTTCTGAGTTCCTGGTGTGCTGGTGAAAAGTTGTGTAACAGTTGAGAGCAACACAGTTTGAATTATAACAAAGACTAATCATGCACATGTTGCTAGCCCACTGACTAACAAATGGCGAGGATTCGGGTGAAAGAAGAATAAATTCCAATCCACCATGTAGGTATTTTCCATCGATATCAGGCTGCTGCAACTAATTTCCACAAGACTCGACTCAATAATGCACTTTGTCCATCACCATTAATGAAAAGGAAAGGTGTGAAACCACTTGTGCATGTTGATTCTTTGCCATGGGTTTTTACTATCATGCAATAATGGGGGAGGCTCAGAGCAGATGGCATGAATTTCAGCAAATATTCTTATTATTCATATAGAAGCTTTCCGGATACCCGAATCCAATCATGTAAGATTGTTTTGTGGAATCCAGGGAGCTAATATACACTAGATAGATTAAGAATATTACAACATTGTTCTTCCTTCAATAGTGGGATACAAGTACAGATCAGGATGGGAGTACTGGACTTCTTCATTCCATCCGACCATCTCTGCTTCGTTCTTCATTCTCAAGTCGGAACTGCTTATCTATTTCTGCCTTTTGTAAATCTTACTCAAGAAGGACTTCAATACTGCCTGCACTGCTTTGCTTGGATGAGCTTCAATGGAGGTTGTCAGTTTCTCGTAACTCTTGCTTTCATACTCCGCAAATACACCCTGTGACATTGAGATTTCAAAATGAATTAGTGAAAGAAAGGAAAAAATTACAAATTTACAATTTATATTGACTTATTCGTCAGTTGACATTAGTGATACATTCTAGTTTCTTTCTGGAATAGAAAATTCATATTGACAGCTACAGCGAGCACTGGAGGTAAAGAACCAATTCTGCTTCACATTTTAGAGTCCAGCCATTCTGTTTGAAAGGTTTGGCTTCTCTATCCATTACGACTGATATCCGATGTTATGCAATCCCTATAATGGACTGGCCATTTTAGATCTTATGAATTTAAAATGTAATGGCTGGACAATTCCAACACTTGGGCAATATTCCAGTAAATGTTGTCCATGTGAAGGTCTAATAAATAATCAAATGGATATTAACTTGTACATGCACAAGAGCAGCGAGCTGCCACCCAAGAGTTGCAAAACCAGAGCAGAATTACTTCAAGATTCATACAAGATCAATGTCAACGACAGCCAAAGGCATCATATGTCTTGGCATTCTGAGGGGCGGTTAGGGTCACGGGTTCAATTCTCATTATCAACATAAAAAAACACTTCCTTTAGGGATTTGAATGATATAGACAGTGGGAAGGGGCTGATTTGAGATAAAAGAGACATTCTAACAACTAGGGGCAGTGCTTTATTTGGACTGCATTTAGTGGGGAACTCTTCCTCCATCAAAGACCTGATCTCAGAATCTTTTGAGGGTTTCATCAGATTCTATGATTGAAGATATGAGGGCCCATTTTCTTTAATTGTTCAAATTGAAAGTTCAACTTTAAGAGACAGAACAAGTGTTGTGCATTATCTTGCAACATGTGCCGTGCAAGATGAAGATCTCATCCCATTAAGATCCTCCAAATTTTGTAATGGATTACCTTAAGTTCTTCGATTTCTGAGTTTTTACGATCATCATCTTTCCACTATATATACATATACAAAATTAGGTTCAGACCTGAAGATCAAGTTCATTGTAGAGGGCCTTTACTTTCGTAACATCAGCAGGATTTGATTTCCCATAGTGCTCCTGAAAAGAAAACACAGTCAATAAGCAAATCCAAATGTCAACTGGAAAAATGACGCAAAAATAAGAAAGAATTGCCATATTACATATAACAATTTCTTCTGTCCTTCAGTACAACGTTCCAATGCTTTCACGACCAACCAAGAACACTTAAAATCTTCAATATCTGTTCCAATCTGATAATGAAAAAGATTCAATAAGAACTCATAGCAACTAAAATATTGATTTTTAAGAATACTGCATGGTCATATATCAATTATCCATCATGCTGAAGCTCACCTTACCAATCTTTTCAGGTTCACCAAAACAATCCAGATAATCATCCTACAAAAGTAGCAGAAAGCATATCACCGACATGGTCACAAGAAAACCTTATGAGAAAAAGAGATTTATTACAACAATCCTACATGCCCTTGAATGTTATATTTTAATTATCCACCAAAATGTGAATTATGCTTGAACGGTATATAACTAATTCATAAATTAAGGCAATCATAATAAACTTATGCAAATTTGATGTATATCCTTATTACACTTCGATTGGAAAAAGGGTAATACCAACAGCAATGAAGCAAACATAATTTCAGTGCAACAAATTTATTACTCTTGACCTGTGCCAGATTCTAACCATACCATAACAAAATAGAAGAACTGTATGAGAAGTTTTGGTTTCCGTATATAACACAAACAATCACCTGTATTTGAAAGTATGTCCCCATCTCAACAAGAACATTCTTTACGTCAATGTGGTTGTCTAGATTCTCACCCGCCATAACCAATGCACATGCAACCTGTGTAAATAATGGAATATAAAGAATAAACTCTCAATTAAGATCCACAACCTCCCAATGTTAACAACCAAATATTTTCATACATATGCGAATTAATTGGGCAGAAAAAGGCATTCATGATGTGGATAGCATGAGAAGTAGGAGTACAACCAAGTTAGGGTGAAGTCTTGTTCAAAAGCTTTGAAGAAATTGATGGATTTGAAGAAATATAAAAGTAGACTTGCACTGAACTACTGGTTTATAATAATTACTTTTGAGCAAATACTACAGCAGATTCAGGCAGTGCATTCTTTAATTGAAATAAGGGTTTCATACTCACTGGAAGGTAAAATGAGTAATAGGCCGTCTTGTACTGAACAATGCGATGATGACTGCAAATAATTTGACAAAGAGGAATGCATCAGAATTCCAACATATTCACATATTAAAAAAGAACAAGACATCACACAGAAAAGAGATGACAAATCAGACAATAAAAAGAAGAAACAAAATACTGCAACCAGTCTAACAGTAGTTGACATTCTAGATCTACCACTAAATGTCAAAGTAAAAGGGAATCATTTTCGTCCATTATGGATATCAATGGATATTGTCATGCAAATGACCCATTCAAAACTGCCTTAAATCCAACTAATTTTTTAACCTCCTTGGACCCATGCCATACATACTGCCAACAAGTCCAGCACTCAAGTAAATGCATTTAAAAAAAAAACACAGTGTGTTCTGCAAGACAGATTTTTCCATGTCTTGCCAGTAACCTAATCTAAAATGTCCACAAAAGACTTGGCGATACCACACTAAAATTGGCATCTGTGTTGCAGAATAGTAAACTTGTATCAATGTTAACAGGCAAGGTGATTTATTTTCATGATCGATGCAGAATTCGGTTGTCCTGTATTCCAGGACACAGTAGATTAGTAGACACCTGATGAACTGCCAAGGTTAACCATTTATATTACGTTGTTAAGTTAGCTCATTCCTTAACTTGGCTCATAAGTTAGCTCATCATCAATTGCTTAAGCCAGATTTTTTTTTACTATTTTTCTTACAGTGGCAACGTGTATTTGGACAGATCTTTTTCTCCTTCAAGCGTAGTAATCAAATCGATCATCTGTCCTGAGGCTGTTTGGAATTCAACCTACAAAAAATGACAAACTAAATTTTAGCATATCATCCAAAAGAAAATTAACAGAGCTAAGTCCTTGCAAGTCAGTCACCTCATTGAACAAATCCAGCAGATCAACATAGTAAGGCTTTTCTCTGAAGTGCTTTTTGAGAATCCTGGGTATGTGGTTACGGAGTAGAACTCCATCATTTATTGCAATCATACCAACCTACAACATACAGTTCAAGCAAGATATTTGTTTCATCTGCAGTGGTAATTGCAAAGGTAATGGCATAACACACTGAAAATTAATAATCGTTTAAGTAAAAACCTTGGGAACTTTGTACCAACAAGGTTGACCTCGTCTTGTGTGAGAACCATCCATAATATCATCAAGAACTAGAAAATATGCTTGAAGCTGAAAAGATTATCATAATGAAATTGTCAGATTTTTATGTGGTGTAATAACCAAATCATAAAACAGCTCATAAATGATCTTCAGGCTGATCTTAACCAAAATCAAATAATTTGTCTGTCACCATACCCATTCAATACACCAGCCAAGAGCACTTGTAAGAAAGATTTCCTCTTCAGTGAGTTCCTTTCCTTCTTTTAGTAACTTGTAGCTGTCAATAACAGAAAGCCCCCTATTTAGCTTCCCTGCAAAACAAAATTTGTTCCGGTGCTATCTTAGTAAGATATGCTTCTTTTTAAATACCCCTCTTGATGAGAGAAGCGTAAATACAATCCGTTAGATGTTAAAAAGGAAAGTTACAACACAATTAAATAATACACAAATGATATAAATGCCCATTTCCTACCTCCAGGCACGTTGTAGTCCAGCATCTGTGGATAAAATAAACCAAAAATCAAGGTCAAGGAAACTGAAGAAAAGCTGCATATTTTTATTGGAATACAGCATGCACGCACTTGAGCACATACACATGCTAAACATATATACAAAAATTTTGTTTCAATACAAACTGATATCTAATTGTTAAAAATAAGAAGAAAACATAAAATAAAAGTGAATCCCGCGTGTACTAACTAGTGATAAGAACATAATTTGTATCTCCTAATGGTTATAGACCACTGCAAGTCTATGGGGTGAAATCGATTTTAGAGGTGATGTACCGCATAAAGCTCAATTGTGCCATAGCATATGTTGAAGTGCCTCATTTCTGTGATAATTCCCTCTTGTTTGCATGAAGTTTTTATCTTCATAACTTGTCATTAAAAAGAATCTGGATTCAGGAAGGAAATCTTGGTCTAGGAGCTTCTAAAGTGTAAATTTTATAAGGAATTGAGGGTTCTGAATATGGTTGTTGCAACTCATAGGCATTTAGTTGAAACAATGACGACTAAATAAATGCAACTTAACTCGCAAATGTGGGAAGTCTACCATACAAAAGGAGCTCCGATGGAGAAACACACTAAAAGATGTGCTAATTAAGGCATACCCAGAAATTGGTTTTCGTTATTTGTAATAGGATGAGAATGAAACTAGCTTCTCTTTAACAATTTCCTACAGTTGGAACTCCAAGCAGTAAATAGATTACACACGCTGTTATAAAAGGAGGATTTTCACATTTTCTAATACCACTCTGTTTGGTTGCCAAGAAAAAACAGAAGGCGTGAGAGCAGAATTAATTTTTCGTTTTAACACTATCTGTTGTTTAATCACCAGAACAATTTAAGAAACTCAAAAAATAGATAAACCTAACAGTTGTGTTGAGCTAAGGAGATCTTGATATCCACAGTTGGAAAATTTAAATAGTAAAAGATTCAAAATTTTATTTCACATTCTTTTCTTACCAAGATCTTTTCAGCAATCAGACCAAATGACACAATAAAACAATTAATTGCGCAAGTTTTTGCATTCTCATTAAAATTAAATTTATTTTTACACTACTACCACATGAAATCAAAATCAGTTACACGATCTACAATTCACACTTTACAATTGCTGCATATAAAAAAAACACAGAGTCACATAGTATATTGCAAGAAAAGCACCATTCCAAGCTTAACTTATCACTATACATATGAAGAAATCAATACTTAAAATAATATCAATATGCCATTGTATCTGATATAACAAGAACAGAGAACTAAATTAAGATAAGCATGCAATATCCAAATGCGATAGATTGAACAATATTGATAATGTTGACTTACTCGCTCGACCCATTGACGAGAATCGTCGGTGAACTCGAAAGCAGGGTCGTTAAGGAGCTCCGATTTGAGGACAGAGTAGACTCCCAGAAATGTGGACTTCGGATCGGCCACTGCTCCGTTCAGATTCGCCATTGACAACTATTCCCTCCACTGCTGAATTTGTTTTTTTTTTCCTTCTAGAGAGAGAGAGATGGTATCCTCGTGTAAGTGAGTTGGGCCAGTTGGCCCGTGTTTGTATATAGGCGGAGAGGGAGAGGGAGAGAGGATTTAGCGAAGTCAAACGATTCCAACTCAATCCAATGTTTTGAAAAGGGATGAAATATTTCGAAAATTACCGATGTGCCATTAGTTGACGCTGATTTATGGCATTGTCGTAGTTGATGAGGTCATATGTTCGCATTAATCGCTACAAGGCGCGTGGTGGTATGGAGGGGTAGGTGGGAGCTGATCAATTGTGCACACAGAGATTCGCCGTTTTGTTTGATCGATTGTCTTTTTTATTAGCTCATGATTTTAAATTTAAAAAATTAAACAAAATGAAGAGTTTTCAATACTTAGGTGGTAAAATATTTTTTTATTTTTCCTTTATCGATGTTCGGTAAAAATTTATGGAATTGAAGTCGAGTCTATAAAGCGAGACATGTAAAATAATTTGTTGAAAATTTATAGATAAATTATTTTTGTTAAATTTAATTTTTTTTTTCTTTGTAAATATTTTACTACAACCAAATACCAGAAAATAAAAAAATATTTTTTACGTCGGAACAAACGGAAAACTTAAAATGAAAACTTAAATTTTAAATTTTTCTATACTTTAAAATTATATTTTAAGGAGAGATGAATGTTCTTTACATTGTTTGGTATAAAGGAGAGGAGGAAGTGGAAGAGAGAGAGAGAGAAAAGGAGAGACAGAAAGAGGGAGTGGATGTCCAACATGGTATCATTTTGGACAAGGGTGGATCTGGGGTGGGTTTTGGTGGGCTCAAGCCCATCAATTTTTATTTTTATGTTTTATTATTTTTTTTATTAGTATTGTCAAATTTAGTCCCAGTTTTAAAAAGTAAATTATAATTAATATTAGTCCATCTAAACATTAACCCACTCCATTGACAATTCCTAAATTTCCCAAATTCTGGATTCACCATTTTGTTAACATGCCAAAGAGAAAAGAAGAGTGAAAAATTCTGAATTCACCATTTTGTTAACATGATTTTGATATTGTATTTTTTTATATTTTTACAAGAAACACATACACTTTTTACCCACACTCAAGCTCAAACCCTCCTCTCCGCTCCCTTTTCTTAAATGATGTAATTTATAATTTATCGATTTTTATAAGTTAAATAATAGTAACTACTATTTGCTTTTCTTCATCTAACTAGAGAGAGAGACAGAGAGAGAGAGAGAGAGAGAGAGAGGGAGCAGGGAGGGGGGATGGATAATTGTTATCAAAGATGTGACACGTCCATCCACCCATATTTTTATAAATTTTTCACTTCATAAATACTTTATAATAATTTACAATCATGAAATTACTTTTTAATTAATCAGATTTAATATTTAAAATTTCATTATAAGTGTAAAAATCATAAGGGTAAATTTCACATACTTCTCTTGAGATTTATTAATATTTCATATAGACCTCTTTACATTTTATAATTTCACTTACCTCATTTGTCAGTAATTCTTTTCCTATTTTGAGCATAAAATGTTTGTTGCCAAGTATTAAAAGGCCGAAAAGAGTTAGGTAAGAAAAATTTTGTTACATAAATCACAATTTTAAGGGAGCTAACTGAAATTATAAAATGTAGAGGAGTTCTATCTGGGATATTCAAAAACTTCGAGAAAGACAAGAGAAATTTATTCAAATAATTTATTGTAATATCTATATATCTATCTATATATATATATATACTCTCTCCGTCTCACAATAGAGGTCCATATTTAGAAATTGGTATTTTTAAGGAGATATGTAATTAATGCATTGTCCTCTTTTAAAATTATCAAATTATTCTTTTTAATTTAAATGTATACAGTTACAAAGTTTGAAATTTTTTAAAAAGATAAAGAATAATGATAGAAATATATATGAAATATGTTTTGACTTTTTAAAGGAAACAAGTAATTTAAGATATGTAAAAATAAAATAATAAACTACTAATAGGAGGTGGAGAGAGTATAAAAGTACTATATGTTTTATTTGGATCGGGAAAAGTTGTCCTCGTGCTAACGGTTTTATAATAGGATATTAACGGCGTCAAGGGTGGATGGCCGTGAGATTCAATAGGCGAATATGCCCCGCTTGAGAGAATCTCTGCTGACTCAATGCCAATTATGCCAGACACCGGTCCTTAAAAGTGGCAATTAAAATTTGAGTTAGCACGTGATACTTCATTTAGATCTGGTTTTTGATGCACTTACTACTATAATAAACGCCGCCAATTTAGACTTGAATGAAATGGACACATGACCTTCCGATATTATTGCCTGTCCAATTATGTTGCTGCGAGTTGGTGAGTACTGTGGACTCACGAGTGATGACCAACAAGTCAAACGTAGAATAATTAAGTTAATTTAATTAACTGATTATTTAATTAATGTAGTTGATATAATGCAATTTAAATTTAATAAATTTTGAGTGATGAAGAACACTGAACTTCTAAAATTCAAAGGATTTCTTAAGGTATCATTATTAGTACTTAAAAGTTGAAGAAAAAGAAACAGAAAAATATAAGAATTTAAAGAGGTAAAAGGGGGGAAAAAAGAAAAGAAAAATATGAGAATTTAAAGAGGTAAAAGGGAAAAAAAGGAAACAAAGAAAAAAAAAAAAGAAAAAAAAAATGTCAGAATTTAGAAGGAAAAATAATTAGAGTTTAATTTAATATATTTATATATATTTTTAACTTTTTAAAGGAATTTATTCATTTAAAGAGTGAAAAGAAAACAATTAGAAAATTAATAGATAATTTTGAAAATTAATAATTTTAGGAGTGCATTAACTTAAAATTTACATATAATTTTGTATAAAAAGAATTTTTACCATATATATTTAATGGGAGGGGCCAGGCCAGCCCCGGCCTGCTTCAAATACTTGTTGAATAAAATTGGAAGGAATTTTTAGTTCAGGGATGCAAAAAAGCTTAATCTCGAAGACTGATTTTTCATTTGTGATAATTATACATAATTATTTTTTATGGTAATTATACATAATTATTGTATGACTCATTTTAAAAGTGGGTTCGGGTTTTTTGGGTGATTTAGTTTACCTATATTTCATTGTAAGCGAATTAATGGTGCATTCAAATTATATTTTGACACTATGCAATTTTCTCAGCGTCTATGTTTATCCCATGATAAAAAAGTTAATATGAAATACGCATCATTGTTAAATGAGGTTCTTCTTCTGTGCCAAAATGTGATGCATGACATCATGAGATGGACTTGAATTTTTAGTCGGATTAATGAAGTCATTTTCTTGTTTTTTCAAATTTCATTTATAAATACGAGGAATAAAGGAGTGATAAAATTGAATACGATTTCAATTAGAATTGAAATGAAGTAGTACATAATTCGGAATAACAATTTGTTCCGTTCTCGCATCACGTCTCTCCCCTATTTTAGCGGTTTTGAGGACCGTTTAGCTTATTTGGGCGAGGATAATTTGCTGTATTGAAAATTCGTGCGGGTTCGGCGCGGGGGCGGGGTGATCGCCCAGTCCCATTTAGATAGGTAAATTACTTAAGTACCCTTATTTTATTAATATATATATTTCGCATTAGTAATGTTTTAAATGTTGAATTTTATATTAAACTATTTATCGTTCATTTTTTTAAAAATTATGAATCTTTCAATAATTTTGTAATTTTAGTTGTTAAAAAAAAATTAAATGGAAGAGAATTTCTGATTTTAAACGAGACGGGACGAGTATTTACGGGGTAAAATTGCTAAACGGGGGCTAAAATGAGGTGAAAAGTCGCCTCATTTTTATGATTTTGAACAAAAATAAGAGTGAAATTTTAAACGATTATGGGGGCAGGAAAAGATATACCTGTACAAACTCGTCGGATTGCCATCCCTATACATTAATTATTTAAATACGAGGTACAAAGGAGTGATAAAATTGAATACGGCTCGTGAATTGACAGTGCGTGTTGGCGAAAAAAAGGAGGCTTTGGTATAGTGGGGGATTGCACAAACACAACCCTTTGATCCTTGGCCCATGTGAGACCACAAAATCTAAGGGTCCTGGTTAACACAGCTCATGTTGCTAAAAGCACTCAAATCGAATCGAATAAAAGTATAAAGCGGTAAACTTTTCCAAAGTCGAATCGAATAAAAGTGTCTAAATATCATTTGTGGGTCTCAGCCTTATGCTCTGTTTGGCAGATATTGTCTACTAAATTCCAAATCCTTCCTCTGCTGTGCAAGAAACCCTACCATCGCTTCGAAAACATGAACAGCGAAACCTGTAGAGCAACTACAGCTCCTCAGCTTCTCTCTCCTCAGAACGTCAAAGATCTTTGCGATTCTGTTGATGCTTTTCTCTTCGACTGTGATGGTCAGTTTTTCAATCCATCCTTCATTTTGTGTCTAACATATTCAATTTAATTAAACTTGTTCAAATTTTCTGTCACAAAGATTGATAATTCTATATTATATTTTAGATAATATAATCTCATTCTAAGTTACGTGTATACATTATACACAATATTGTATTAGGTGTAATTTGGAAGGGCGATAAGCTTATTAATGGAGTTCCTGAGACATTAGAAATGCTAAGGTCCAAGGTATTTTATTTATTTATTTTTTGCATGCATTAAGATACCTTCATTATTATATATAAATAGATGCACACATGTATATATATATTATATAATTATTTATAATTTTGTTCCTGTTGCAGGGGAAGAAGCTAGTTTTTGTTACCAACAATTCGTTGAAGTCAAGGAGGCAATATGCTGCAAAGTTCCACTCCCTTGGGATTTCAGTTAATGAGGTTTGTCTGGATAAATATCAATTTTTTGTTTTTTTGTTTTCTTTTTAAAATTATTTCACAAAGACATTGTCTTAATTTTCTCCTGGCTTGTTTGCAGGACGAGATATTCTCTTCATCATTTGCTGCTGCCATGTTCTTGAAGATAAATGATTTTCCTCGAGAAAAGAAGGTTGGTGCTTAATGTATTTAATTTCTTGTGGTTTTTAATAGAATTTGCTTCAGTATGAAGTGGCTACTAGCTAGTGATATATTTAATAAGCAAGACAAAGATGTAAAACTTTGCACGGTAGATGATAATAGCAACAGTAGTCTCTATTTCGATGATGGTATATGAGACCCCGTAGTTGCGGATGCTAGAAGGGATACAAACCTTGCCTATGGCATTATCTGCAGAAAGTATCTACACTTAATATTTTAATGGGTATTTTAACGTTTGACGGCCTAAGCATTTTAGGCAATTGGACATGTTGGGGTCATTATCAAAGTTATTTCATTCCTTCTATTTTTAGCTATGTGATTGTAGAATAAATGTATCTAAATGCTCTGCTAGAGAATTATTAGGAGTTCTTAATGCTAATGGTGCAACAAAGTTATTGATGAATTCAAGTATAAAAATTCAAAAACCTGAATACTTGATAAGAGTTCAATCATGCTCATGTGGTTATTAATTTGAAATTAGTGAAAAATTATGCAGATTGCCAAAGTTACTGTCATGATCTAACACCCTGATTATTCTTTGATTTGAAAATGCATGGGTTAATTTTGTCAATATTGTTTTGAATTGTTCACCCATTTTTCAAGCCAAATAAATTAAGACGTCTAAGAATGGCTCTTTTCCAAAATCTTCGGTCTTTCTTGTCTTCTGGACTGAATTTTGAATCTACATCTTTTGGGTCCCATCCAAACCCCATCTTAGTTTCATTGGAACACCTTGTTAGAGTTCATGTGGTCCAAGTTTCTAGTTGCCAAAATTCTTAACCATTATTGTGTTGCTTTTGGTTGTACGATGATGATATTTGACCTCGATCTGTTTTTGCAGGTTTATGTAATAGGTGGGGAAGGCATATTGGAAGAGCTAGAGCTTGCTGGTTTTACCGGTCTAGGTGGCCCAGTAAGCTTTCTTTTTTATTCTCTAAGTAACGGAATTTTATGTGAAACTTTTATATTCGAAAATCTATTATGATTTCTCTCCATAGAGGTTATTTGGCATTTTCCAAAATCCAACCTGAATACCATTTGCTTGTGGCCATTTAGGGGAAGGGGTATTGTGCTAGTACTGGAATTCTTTTCCTTGGCAGAGAATTTCGTTTCCTTTTATTTCTGCTTCCAGAACTTATGAAAGCCTTTCTCGCAATATCAGGCGTTGTCCCGTAATGAATCTTACTTCCTTTCTTTCGTGCCTCCAGAACTTGTGAGAAGAATCTTTTATAATATTAGGGGATCTCTTTAAAAGTGATCTCTTCATAGAGAAGTGAGATCTTTATGTGTATCATATGTAACCAAACACTTACTGTTCATCTGCTCATTGACATAGCTTTTCCACTGACCAATGACGATAACACAGTATTGAAGTAAATTTTGACGGCCAAGTTTGCTTCTTAATGTGTCTCAATAAATTTGGCATAATTCTTTTGGATGTGTACATCCCCAAACTAATAACTGTTATTGATATTCTATTTTTAGAGGCTGCATTACTCACTTCCGTCTCTCGATTTCCCATCCCTGCTTTGCAAAGTGGTAGCCATAGACTAGTTTAAGAGGAATAGGGATGGCCTATTGCACTTGCAATAGTAATGAGAAATTTTGATGCTCCCTTCATTTATATTCATGCTTTTAGTTTTTTTCTTATAAAAAAACAAAAAATATTCATGCTTTTAGTTTGGTGCAATCAGCTAGTATCAAATATTCAGCATTAATTTTAGAATAGGTTTTTGTTGAAGTTAAAAAAGTCCAGTAATTGTTTTTTCTCAAATTATTAGTATTTTGCTTTTATCTCAAATTAAAGAGAGACTTCTGCCGGTTTTGAGTGTTCCACTGGATGAAAATGATATATTGCAGGAAGATGGGAAAAAGACGGTGCTTCTGAAATCAGATAGTCTCTTTGAGCATGATAAGAGTGTAATGTAACATCTTGTACATAATTTCTCAAGCATTGTACTTTTTATGACAGCTGATGATAATAAAATATTGCAATTTCTAATCCCAGGTTGGAGCTGTTGTGGTTGGAATAGACCCACATATAAATTATTACAAGCTACAGTAAGAAAATTCATATCCTTCATCTTCTTTTCCTATCATTCTCTTGCCTTCCGGTTGGCAACTTGTGGACTTGAGCCCTTAACACTAGAATAGGTTGAGAGTCCAACGAGATGCCACCTATCCTACAAGGTCAATGATATAATGCATCATGAATTGCTAAACATACATTCTACGTTGCTACCAAATTTATTTTCTGGGCCACTCCCCCTATTGCATGCACACTAACTCTATTGGCTAATAATGATGCTCAATAACCCCAACCTCCTTCACAATGAAGAGAGCAAGAGTTGTATATGTTGCGGATCACAACCAGACATTATGATTAAAAATTCTGGGGTTTCTAACCTCTGTTTCTGTTTTAGGAAGAGAATCACTAACCGTTATTTGTCCATAATGATCTGTGAACCAATTTTTAGAAGATTAGTTCTCATAAATGGTTCAAAAACCCACTGCATTTGAAAACCAAAAATAGGGAGAAATTTGGTGTTTTATTTATTTATTTATTTTTTATTATTACTTTTTTTTTTTCCCCCCGGGGGGGTGGCGGCGGAGGTGGTATGTGTGTGTTTATTATTGTAGGGATCATCAGTGTTTTAAATTTTTATATTTTCATTCAATTTTCTTTCTTTAGAAATTCGTTCACCTGTTTGACGCCTCTCCATTGCACACAAGACAATATGCACGAGTAACAACGAATCGTGCTTCTAGATAAATATGCATATTTAAGATAGCATGGAGACAAATTGTCATCTTGCAAAAAAATTACGATTACGTTCACAAATCTTGACTAGTTGCAAAAGTATTCCATCACTAGGTTAAGCTCGCTTACCCTTCAGAATGATTGTTACTTGTCTTTCAGAACTGTTTGAAGATCTTGGATTTCAAATGGCAGGTATGGAACTCTTTGCATACGTGAGAATCCAGGATGCCTTTTCATTGCTACCAACCGTGATGCGGTGGGACATATGACTGATTTACAGGAGTGGCCTGGTTGTGTTTCTTTCACATTCAGATCTTTTTACTTTTTATATATTACGAACCCAAAGTTAGATCTCCAAAATTACTAGTCATTGAAGCTCTATTTGTTCTGTGCATCTGGTTTCAGGTGCAGGATGTATGGTTGCTGCTATTTGTGGGTCAACTCAAAAGGAGCCCATTGTAGTTGGAAAACCGTCAACGTTTCTGATGGACTTTTTACTACAAAAGTAAGCAGAATATTTATGTATAATGGTAAAATGGTTGACCTGTTAAGCTTTGAGTATGAAGTAGGCGCTTTGTGCAATATAATGTTAGAAGATAGGTCTGTGTTTGAGTCTAAATCTTTCAGCCCCCTGTATAAACAGGACCAATAATGGGTTTTTAAATGATTGTTTATTCTCTATTTTAGTAATTGAAGTTCTTTTACTCATCTAAAAAAAATGAAAATACTGTAGAAGTGGTATAATTCATGTATTTGTGTATTGGAGAGTAAGGAACCGCATGTTAAAAGACCTTGTATTTGTATTATCATCCTCCCCTTCAGTGTCTACGGTCCTACAGATATAAAATTGCATATTGAGCTATGCAGGGAAAACAATCGAAAGAATTTTTTTTATGCTCTTGTTTTATCCTGTTTTGCAGATTTCATATCGATACCTCCAAAATGTGCATGGTGGGTGACAGATTGGACACTGATATTTTATTTGGACAAAGTGCTGGCTGCAAAACTCTCCTAGTTCTTTCAGGTAGGAGGTTTCTCTTATTTGTTTTCGCTTTCACGAGTACCCTGATATTCATGTAACTGCTATGGTTGCAGGTGTGACAACTCAATCTACTCTTCAGGACCCTTCAAACCACATCCAACCTGATTATTATACTAGCATGCTGTCTGACGTTCTTAAATTTTTAGGACCATGACCCAAAGGTTACATTAGGATATCCAATTGTGGTGCATCAACAATTCAACATTCATAATTAGAAGATTGATGCTGTAATTGCTTTTAAACAAAAAGGTATTTCCCGCTATATATTTATACATTTTGTACGAGTTCGCATATTTTAATTCAATAAATGGTTTATGCATTTCCTTGCATTTCATTTCATAATTAACATTTTAAGCAATTGCTAAAGATGAGTGTTTTGGATAAAAGAATACTATATAGTCTGTATCTCAAGTTACTCAATATTTTTCCAGGACAGGACACATTTAAATAGTGAGCACACAACAACATCGATTTGGAGAACTTACTTATGATTTAATATAGGACCACGTGTGCTCAATTTTGCGCTGAATGTAGTAAAGTCTATGATGGACTCAATAAGAATAGCCAAACTATCATTAAAAAAGACTCGATCTGTCGTAGGAATACAGATTGGTCCTTGGCGATGCTGGGAGTTAGCCTTGAGGTTCTTGACACCTCTGTAAGGACGACTCTTTACCAATGAACAAGTATGAAGGTGAAACAAATTGAAAATAGGATTAGAAGATAACTTAAATGTCTACAACTAGGTTAATTAAAACTGAGTTATGAATAAAGAAAAGTTGGACAACAATATGAAATTTAAAGTGTGTTAATGTGTTATGGTGGACCTCCTTTAACGTTCCTTCAATGAATGGCAATTATACATCATCGATCCACACCTCCCTTCCTGTATATTTTATCTGGTTTTGATGTAAATGCCACGATACTTTAACCCAAATTCGAACTTCGAAGAGCCAAAAGTGGATGGTTTTCCTAAAATAGTGTATAGAAGTTCCTTACTTCGCAAACCAATCTTCCTATACTGATTCGTATTCTCTTTAAGATAATATATATATTTTCATATTCCTCTTTAGGCAACGAGATGGCTCTAACTTTCTATATAAAACAGTACCTTTGGCCTCCAAAACACATCCATCTTACAGTAAGTTGAGATAATGAAGCAGTCGTTGGCATCATCATCTAAGCTTTTAAAACTAGTTGTTATTCTGATAGTCATCACCCTCTTGTTTACTTTGGTGGCTGCCAAAGGTGGCGGTGGGGTTGGCAGAAGTGGAGGTGGCAGCAGAAGCGGAGGACACGGCAAGGGCGGACAAGGGCGCAAAGGTGGAGGCAAGGGTGGAAAAATACCTATTATTATAGTTGCAACGCCTCATCATCTGAAGCACGGCAAACCAGACAAATCTTCAAGCTCCACTCTTACTCGTTCATGGGACCATTGGGTGTATATGCCTGTTAGTCTGTCTTTGGTTTCTCATACTTTGTTTCTTTGATTACATGAAAGACTTAGTGGGTCCTACTTTCATGTAATCAAAGGTCACTGATCCCTTCAGTCCAAGCATTCTGGTGAGTTAGAGTGTAACACATAATTTTAAGGTCCAGGAAATGAAAGACTTCTCGTCCGTTAAATACATTTAATGTGTTAGTAACCGTTAAATACATTTAATGTGTTAGTAATGATGTAAAATCAAGTTGATTTAATTTCTCATTTTGGGTTATTGTTTATTTACTCCTCTAAGGTCACAATTCATTTGCATACATTTGTGACAAAGGCTTTGGTATCGTACTATTTCTCTCTAGAATATTGTGGATTTGTTGGGCTTTGTTTAATACTCCTATTTTATTTTTTTGCCCTTTCTAGTCCCAATGTTATCATACATATTCTTATTGAAGTGGGGAGCCACATTTAGTTTAGTATGGGCAGCCGCATGCCCCCACTGAACTCTTTTGTATATTTTATAGACCTCCTATAGAATTGTAAATTACCTTTAGTCTCCCTGGGCAAATAGAGAGGAGAGAATGAATATCATTAATGTTATCGGATGACTGAATACATCACTTAATTTCGAGTACATTTGACAACACAACCCATAAATATTTGCCAAGTGAATTTATTTAAAACAAGAAATGATATAGATAAATCTTAAACGTCAAATTTTTTTAAAAAGTAGAACACCACCAGTATAAATTTTTATTTATATACATATATTGAGCAATATTATTATAAAATTTTAATTCATTTCTATTTTTTATACTAAGAGTTACTCTAAAATGATTTAAAAAATGAAATTATTACATTATTATAATTACTTTTATATTATGTATATCGTTATTATACTTTATTATAATAGTATTTTTGTTTTAAATGAACAAGTATCATTTTATGATTCTGACTCTTTTCATTTACGGTTTTAGTTTTAGGTAAAGTTAGAGTAATTCATGCTGTGTTATATTACAAGAATTGAGAAATTCATTCCCATTCTTCACTAGGCTAACTAATCACCCACTTTATTTAGGATTCAAACCCTCACGTCTAGAACTTGTTGGTTATAAATGAAACATCCTACCTATTTATAAGCATTCCCTCCCTAGTAGATTGCTAGGATGCATCATCAACAATTGAAAATATTCTACAAATATACTATTACAACATTCTCTACACTATTCTAGACTATTTCACATTTTCACACTACTCGGGAAGCCCTCTAAATACAAACTCCCTGCACTTGCCATGCAACAATCTATTCACTTTGAATTTTACTTCTGATCTTTCGTCTCATTAATATTTTGACCTTGATTGCTAGTTTGAGGTAGTTCAATCATATCAACCATGATTAGTTGTGAGGAGGAGGTAGTTACTAATAGGCAAGGAGAGAAGAAGTACCAACGGGCCAGTGGTCTAACAATATCAGCCTCAGGGGGTCAAATCTCAAAAGAGACATGTGTGTGAATACCAACTATGAAAAAAAAAAAAGAAGAGAAAAAAAAAGAAGAGAAGTATTGTTTAAAAGAGTGTGTACACCTTGTCCAAGACCAAGGGGAATGCCCAGGGACCTAAAACCAATGGCCCAAGCCCAAAAGGACAATACGGAAACAAAGGGAAAAAACCCAGCCAAAGCCCAGGGCCCATTACAAGGTTGGGAGTCAGGACAACGGGCTTATCCCGATGATCCACAAACTCAAAATGGGCAACTTCCCGAACCATCTCCGAAACAATTAATTGGTTACCCACGGCACAACCCTGGCCCAACTCCGAAGCACCGAAAAGCTTCCTCATCCATTGGTATTTGAATAAAGATAATTTGAGAATGCCAAGTGGACCAGTGGTTCCTATTACATGATGTCACGAGGGACTCACATCCTCATTCATATAATTTTTTTTTTTTTGGGTCTAATTCGAATCATGTATCATTACTTGAAAATTTAATTTTTTTGAAAATTTAATCATGTATCATTATTCTTAGTATTTTTATTTTTTTATTTTTCATATATTTTGGTTTTTTAAATATAAGATTAAGGAGAGGAAATAAATGATATAAATATAAATGAATAAAAAAAATAAGCGGAGATCAATTCAAAAATGATGTTCTTGATGATGAGGTTCAAGTTGAAATTTTGTATGAATTTCTATAAGACCTTTATTTTATTTTCAAACACACAATTGCTTTATTTTTTAGGCATTGAGCCCATCAAGGTCAACTTCTCATATATATATATATATATATATATATATATTACTTTTGCAGTCTATTTTATGTATTTTTTTTTTGGTATCTATTTTATGCTTCATTTTCGCGAATGTGTTTGTGCGTGTTCGCGTGGGAGGGATGGACAGTGAAACAAATGGCCTCAAATCCTACAATTTTGATTATACATTTGACTTTTGGGACCTTTTCGCTTCATCATTTTGTGGGAAAGTAGAGTGTTTCACTATGTTTCTACATGTTGAATATGTTCAACAGAATCCATAAGTCTAGATTAATAAGGTTTTAAGCTCTAACAAATACAATAGTAGTGCTGCTATTTAAACCATGCCTTTCAAGCTCCAACTACAAATCAATTTTCTTTGGCAAGTGCATTCTATAGTTTTTTTTTGTTGTGTGCATGTTTAGTTCATAAAACAGCATTCTATTACAGTGCATAAGAAGAAAATAACAAACCAATGACCATTAGTTCATTGGCATAACCTTTCCTCTCCCAAAAGGGGAGGAAAGAGGTTCAAGCTGTTGGGAAACGTGCTAGTTTTAAAAACTTTTCGAGGGATTTAAATTCATAGATCTTGATTCATCACATAGAGACAAGTTTTATGAAAAAAATAAAATAAAATATGATGTATTATTCAACTAAAAGATTGAATACTTACATCAAGGTTTGAGTAAACCTCAGATCTCTCCTCTAAAGTGAATGTTCTCACTTATTGTAGATCCCTTTTGCTAGACATCTTTTCCATGGATCTCCATCTTCTTGGTAATGGTCTTGCCTTTAGGAATCACTCATAAGCCTCCTTGAATGACCTTGGAAAACTAGGCTTGTGGGAGCCTCCATCAGATGAGAACATAAACCCTAATTTTCTAGAGAGAGAAAATTTATTCCTTTTTCCTTCTCATAAAAATCACCCCCAAAAATATACATAGACCATGTATATTTATAGGCAACATAAAAATAAAGAAAAGGAAACAACAAATCCTTCTCCATCTCTAATTCATATGTCTCAAATCTAATATGATTTCAATATCAAGTTGGGCTATGAGTGAGAATCCATTGGGCCTATTATTTTATTGGCTACAATGAATTAATAATTGGCCCGGTTCATGGACCCAATTCAATTAATTCATAAATTAATTTCTACTCCACTAAAAGAAATTAATTGAACTCCAATTAAATAATAAATAACCTCTAAGTCAATATTGCACTTTGACCCCTCTATGCATAATTAGTTATCGGATAAATATAGCCATCAATCCGACTCCTTAATTAATATATTTATTTTGGTACCTTTGATTATTTCTGGCTCGATCACAATAAAACATTTGTTTGACAAAAATAATAATTTAAATAAATAAATATATAATAAATCATTTTGTCTAAAAACACACGAAGGCCTTCGAATTTACTTTGTGATCAACCATAATCAATACAAAATAAATACAAGTAGCAATGATGCAAATATTGAAAATATAACCCTCTAACTATTAATTACATAACTACCCAAAGTGTCGGTCTAAGGATCCCGAAGAATCCGCCGAACAAATCAAAGTAATTATTAATTAATAAAAGAGTCTATACTTTTCTCATGCTTAAGAGTCAAATGCCATGACGGTGATAGGGAGTAATTGCATATGACG